TTTATGTAATCTCTATATGTTTGCTTAGTTTCAACTGTTTTGATGACTGGCTCATTATATTTGATTTCGATTGCATTGTGGTGCTTCTCAAAATTTAATAAATGAAAGTCACTCATTGTGCATTTTGGTTGTAGCATTTGTTTATCTGAAGAAGACCAAGATCGTAGCAAGTATCAAGCACTATCTTCTCTTTTTCACTGGCCGCATTGATAGCAATTCTATGTCCGTGTCCTCATTATCGTCAACAAACCAAATCAATTTGGGCAAATTAAAATCACCGGAAACTACTAAAACATCATTTATACTTAACTTCGATGTAATTTCTCTCAATGCATTCATGTACATAGACCATCATTTCTGTTTATTCCCAAAATTTCGGTTCCATGCGGAAAAGTCAGCTTGCGTACGTAAGCCTCTTTATTTGCAAAAATGAGTGAAATAATTCAACTTGAAAATTTTTGGTGAATTTGGAGTTTTACACCAAATTCACCACTCAGTGTTCACCAAACTCAATATTTTTGTGTTGGAATCGACAGATCTTGTTAATCTCAATGCACCATAATGATTATATGCATTTCTGATTGGATTAAAGTGAAAAAAAATTAAATTCCCGCAAATGATGTTTTTTCGAAATGAACTCAGACATTTTCAATGCTGTAAAAATTCTTATTGTTTACACTTTGATCAAATGACACCTGTTGATTCTTATAGGATTTTGACAGTACTTTCACATGACGGCGGATATAGTTTTAACTGATGCGAAAAATACTACTTACGCCATCTGTTAGAAAACCGCACGAACTTATTTAAATCCCCAATAGACCATAATTTCAGTTTATTCCCAAAATTTCGTTACCATGCGGAAAAGTCAGCTTGCGTACGTAAGCCTCTTTATTTATTTATTTATTTATTTTTTTTTTTTAAGTTTCACGTCATTACAATATCATTCTGATGATGAACATATGTTCATAGGCCTAGACTATGTACTAATGATTTTGCTACATAATTTTTATCTAAATTAATGGTTTTAATTGAGTGTAGAGAAAGTGCAGCTGCGAAGTTTTTTTCCTAAAATTGACCGCTTTTCTGGCCATACTCGAAATTGTTGAAAAATGCTTTGAAAAAAAAAGTAAAATATCATTAAATGAAACACAAATCAATTGAATTTCAACATTATATTTTCGATGTCACTGACCGAGAACAATATTTTTTTGATATGTAGTTGGAAATATGCATTATTTTTTTAAAAAAATTCTATTAATTCAATTCAAAGACGTAATAAAATGACGTGAAGTTTATTTGTTCAAATTTTTTTTTATTTTAAAGAGACTAGAGACTAGATTAATCGTTATACTAAGTTTATCAATGTGTTCCTCCTAAACCATAATCTTTCAAATATTCATTAATGGTTTTGTCGTCATTTCAATTCACTGTGATATATTTTTGTGATTTTCCACAATCATTTCTTCGAATACAGTTCAATTTTTATGGTAATATAAGCAATTGTCATGCGAAGACTGATTTTAATGTAGTTTACAGCATTTTTTCTTTCCTTCCATTAAAATATTAAATCTTTCGTCTAAAGGTTTTTTGTATGCTGAATGAAAATTAGGAGTTATTATATAACATATTGAATCTACAAAATGCTATCGGGATCTTCTTTGATATTCAGAGGTTTGAATTATAAAGATTATAATGTGTTTTAAAATTGTTGAGATGTCGAAATATAATTTCTCTTCACATTTGTAGAGATTGTGGTTTGATTGTGTGTGATGTATATAAAATTGGCAACATGAAAATATCAGTTTATGGCAATCGGTATAGTGATGTTTGTTTAATTGTATGATATCAGTTTTTTATTTCAAATGGGAGGGCGGCACTTAAAGAAAGACTTATTTACGAAGAAAAAATGAAATCGATTCAATCGCTTCTATCGGTTTATGGTCAATGGTTTTGTTTTATATTGCTATGGTTATTATAATAATTATTATTACTACTATATTTTTTTTGTATTTCATAATCACAGAAAAGAAAATTATAATATGCATTACATATATGTTATACTCTTCATGTGGCGCATAAAAATAAAGTATTGTGTTTTTTGATTTTATAATTGTCGGATGTCAAAGACGCCGGATTTTATCGCATATCGCAGTTACACTTTAAATGACGAGAGTTTTTGAGAAGTTTATCCAATAATATATTTGAAGAATCAAATTAATTTTTGGGTTGTATTGAATTACTTCTAATTAGAGATAACCTATTTAGTTTATCTTACGATTTTACCATGTTGAAATTTTTTTTAGTTTTAATTTTGTTTTTGTTTTTTTGCTGGAATTTACACGATAAATATATTCTTAAATTTAATATAATTTATTTTTTGGGTTATTAGTTCAAAAATATCGTATAATTAAATGAATCAAAACGGTTTTTCGTAAAAGCAACACCTGAAATAATTATTTTCGCTTCGCAGTGTACCGAAATTCACAAACATACAATGTTCAGTGGGAAAGCATACGTTTTGTTCATAAATATTTGTTTAAATGTTAAAAATACAATTGCACACAAAAATGGATTACTTAAAAAACTGGTATACTGTCCAAACTCTACAAATTTTCTTCGGAAATGATTAAACATTATGTTTTGAAAACTTTGATTACTTTGTATTGTTTTGAATACCGTACATAATTTGTCTCTATTGGTTTAAAAGCGTGTTGGTCACCTCAGAGAAGCAGGACAGCAAAGGACTCCCGTTCGCGTTATCGATGTACGCGTTGGATGGCTGCAAAATATAACATTTTTGTACAAATTTGGCAACACTGTGAGATTGTGACTGATGTGTAAACAGTCAACTTACAACTGGGTATGGGACAGCTGTGTGAGCTGTGAGATTGGCGATATGGTGCCGTGCTGTTGATGATGATGGTGATGAACTGTTGGATGATCCATGTAGCCGTTGCTGCGCGATGGACAATGTGATTGGTTGGTATCTACCAATGATGACCTGATATTGAATTTCAAAGTTATGAAATACAAAATAACAAACGACAATGGGACTTAAAACAAAGGAAAACACATGAAATTTCTAGTGAATATTATTTGTTTGCCAATTAAATTAATCACAAATGCAAGAAAAAAATACGTGAACACAAAAGAAAAGGCATAATAAACAAAAAAAATAAAAACAATTTTCGACACTCACTGAGTGTTTGCGTGCTGTGGAGCTGGGTGATAAGTGAAATATTGGTATTGCGAGTAGGCAGGACTCCAACTACCTACCTCGCAACTACTTCCAAGTGATTGATGTGTCACATGTTGGTGATTTTGCGTTGGTGTGGCGCTGCCATGTTCCGGTGATACTATATGACTACCACTAGATGTCGATGAAGACGAGTGATGTGGTGTTAGGTGCGAAGAATGTGCTACGTGTGCATACATGGTGGAAGCATCAACTGCGGCCGATGCGGTTTGAGTTTGGTGTGAATGGATCTGATAAAGAGGAACGCTTACAGGTATTTCCTTATTGTTCGATGTACCTTCCGACCACTTCATATGAACACCTGTTCCATCTTGCGTTGGTGATACTATTTGATTCGTTCGTTTCAAATGGTTGATTTCCGTTGAATAGAGTCCATTCGTTGTTGGCGTTGTGATCGGCGATCGATTTGTGCTCGATGTACCCCACATTAGAACGGTTTGTCTTTCATAATGCTCAGAACTCGGCGGTGATGGTTCAATTTTTGGAGTAACTAGCAAAGTAGTACTATTATTCGAATTCGAACCATTGGTAACATTTGCATTGGAAGAATTGGTAACATTGTTTGAAGTTAGAACACCTACATGAAATAATACGGTGTTAAAAAAATAGCTTCTATTTAAATTCATTTTGTAAATATTATACCAGCATCATTGTTGTCATTGGCTGTATTGTTATGAGATGGTGAACGATTTCCAGGTGACTCCATAATCGGAGGTGATGTCTTAGGCGTTTTCAATGTTGATTGAATGATCTGAAAACGAAAATATTGAAATTTTTATATATATTTGAAAAGTCGGAAAATTCCCCCATTCAAACCTGAGAATGACCTGTTGGACTGCTATACTCCGTATACATGCTACTACGACTAGTTACATCATAATACTTTCCATTGTCCTGCCACTTTTCTTCTTTGGTTGAAATGGCATAACCGTCATATGGCAAGAATCCATTTGCTACATATGACGTTGGCACCGATGAATGGTGATAGTCACCTGAATAATATCCACCCTGCAAACGATATTGATGATACAAATTCTCTGGATAAAAGTTTGACGAATGTACCGATGGTGTCATGTATAGGTTTTCAGTTGATGATGGATACGGTGATGCTGCTGCGTACATTGGATTTAAATTTGTGTAAGCAGCAGCCACTGGTATATATTCTGGTGCTGGAGGAGTTATCTATGTGAAAATAACCAAAATAATGTTTATGTTATTTCATTCAACGTTTTTTCAATCTACTCACTTGGCCCATATGCGAACTTGATTGATGTTGAGGCTGTGACTGCTGTACCTTACGCTTTGATCGACATGTTGATAAAAAATCACGCAGTTGAGTCTTATAGCGCCTAGATGGTCTTTGTGGTGGGGCCACTGATGGCTGAGATAATGAGTTTGGCGATCCGCTTGGTGGCATTATCAACTGATCTGCCTCCGAAAAATAGGTTGAAGCTAATCCAGTGTCCAAATAACTAACCTATTTTGTACAAACATTTTTAGCATTGAACATCTTCTGAGTACAAGATATATATATATATGAATGTCCGAGAATGAATGTGAGTCTTCTCGTGAGAGTTTATTGAAATGTAACACCGCCATACAAAAAATGCTGACTCTCAGCAATTTTTGTATGGCGGTGTTACATTTCAATAAACTCTCATGAGAAGACTCACATTCATTCTCGGACAATCATATATATATATATTGACTTTTATTAAAATTAAATTCAATTAAAACACACCTTAAAATCCATAGTGCGTTTTCCCAATAAATCTTTGCCTTCTTCTTCCATTAATTGTCGATGTGTGCTAATAACAAAATCGGGTTTGGAATTTTTATAAACCAACCGAGAGCTGGTTTGTAACCATTGCCATTCACCGTCCTTCTTTTGGTATCGATATGCAATCATTCCCGAAGCGCCTGTTTTCAACACTATACAATTGATAAAGTTTAAATATGAAATTAAATATTGAAATATGAAATTCATATTGTAACATACATTCTTGATGTGCGCTAGCTACATAAGCCAAGTCATCAAAATGTACAAGACTATATCCACCTAGAAGAAAATTAGAATAAGAAAAAAGAAAATAATGAAAATAAATTAACATACAGGGTGATTCAGAATTACATGTCAATATTTTCATAATTTTTTTTTTTAGCTCATTAGGAGTAAAAAAGTATATGGGCACTTTTCCCGATTCGGGTGTTTAAGTAGGGTTACAGCCCCAGTCCCCTTAGGGTCAAGATTTTCTATTTTCTGGTTGATTTCCACGGACGGTCACCACAGCGGTGTTTTTCAAAAGCAATTTTTCATCATTGTCTTGTTGGAAAGGTCTCTCGACCCTCTTGAGAATACCATAGAAAAAATTCAAAAAAAGTTTCAGTGGAGACGGTCAAAGTGGGTTGACCAAAAGTGAAAAAAATCATCGAAAATCGAAGAAAATCGTAATTTATCTAGAAATACAATGTGATAAACCTATCTTTTTTATGCCAGAAATCGAAAGAGCATCCAATTTTGAGCCGGTATGCAAATTTTTAGAATCTAAATTTATGTGGGTGTGTCAAAATGTTTAACGGTCTTCGGACCACTTTCCATAGCTGTGACTTTTTCCATTCCTTGCCATTTTAGATAAATTTTCTACTAGAAATATTTTAAAATATGATTTTATCTGGAAATAAATATCAGATTCGGATTTCCCGTACCCAAAAACCCCCCAATACCAATTTTCATACCGATCGAATGAAAAAAAATGTGAATGATGAACAATCAGCGCAAAAAACTTGCCCAGGAAAGTCGATTAAAAAAAATGAAAAAAAAAATTCGGTCGCTCCACTTCGGACCGTTAAAAATTTTGACACACCCACATAAATTTAGATTCTGAAAATTTGCATACCGGCTCAAAATTGGACGCTCTTTCGATTTCTGGCATAAAAAAGATAGGTTTATCACATGTTTTTTCTAGATAAATTACGATTTTCTTCGATTTTCGATGATTTTTTTCACTTTTGGTCAACCCACTTTGACCGTCTCCACTGAAACTTTTTTGAATTTTTTTCTATGGTATTATCAAGAGGGTCGAAAGACCTTTCCAACAAGACAATGATGAAAAATTGCTTTTGAAAAACACCGCTGTGGTGACCGTCCGTGGAAATCAACCAGAAAATAGAAAATCTTGACCCTAAGGGGCCTGGGGCTGTAACCCTACTTAAACACCGGATTCGGAAAAAGTGCCCATATACTTTTTTACTCCTAATGAGCTAAAAAAAAATTTCGAAAATATTGACATGTAATTCTGAATCACCCTGTAAAATGGAAATAATGAAATAATCAAATATATCATCAAATATACCCATAGTAGCCAGTTCGTTGTCTGCATATCCAAGAATCATTTTACCACGTTGATCCATTGAAACAAGAGATAAATCTAATTTATGTTTAGATTTAAACATATTCTCTTTTTGAGGAATCTCCATGAGGGACGGTGGTCCAAATGGTGTGCAATATGCAAATAATCCTAACGGAGGTTCTTCGGTTTTACGATTTTGTCCATGCAAAATTTTTACACGGCCACGAATATCTAGGCGTAAAAACCCTGATGTATTATCAAGTAAGCAACGAAATCGAACGGTGAAACTGCGTTCCAAATAGACCGATTTGTCAGGTGATAATGCTTCATTTAATGGCATTCCGGCTGCATCACTTGGAAGAAATGAGTTCCACAACAATTGTCGCTGTAATTCTTCACGATCTTCTGAATGCACCAACTCATACACCGATTGATGAACTATATCGGACTAATTAAAATTGTAATGGAACTCATTTTAATATGCCAAATAACATTGAATATTTTTCATATTATTCAATAGGGATTGATATAAACCGCTTGAAAATTTAAATGGGATTCCATTGAAACAAGAGCAACATAGTAGGGTGGATGATTTTTTACCGATTTGGATCTAAAGCCCAGAGAACAGCAATTTTTTGATGGGATTATATGTCATATTGCAGTGATAGAGTGTACACACAATATATTTTGTATTGACGCCTAGTTTCTGACTTTGATCAATCGAAAATTTTCTTTCAACTGGCACTTAAGTCTTTATTCAACTGGTTTTTAACGATTTTTAAAAGATGTTTACCTGGAATAGTAAATCTGTATAATTTGGCCATTTGAAGTTTTATAAAGTCCAACATGGTTTTAATTGATAAAATAAAATCAATTTTAGTATAGAAATGTGAAAAATTAACCGAAATTGTCATTACTAAAAATCACTATTTTTTCGATTTTTTTTTTGAGCGAACTCGTTCAAGTCGCCATCCTATATGACCTATGACCCCATAAGAAATGGCTGTTTTAGAAACAGCTCATGCTTATACAACTATTCTGGGCTGTAGGCTTCGATACTTGAATTTTTTCGAAAAAGTCATCCACCCTACTAGATACTTAAATGGAATTAAAATACACAGAGCGAACACAGAGCGTGTATGTAGATTTTGTTAGTGTAATTTGGTTAGTTCGAACTCTCACCGCTTCAATTTATAATTCAAATCAAATGCATTCGAGTGCGGCGCTGCTTGCATGTTCTTATTCTTACGCACAGTGTTCGACACAGAGATATATAGAGAGAGAAACAAATACAAAAAATTGTTAACAAGATAAGCCAAACGATACACAGCAGGGCACACGTATCATTGTGTGAACTTTTGGTTTGCGGTTTGTACTGAAATTATACGTGAAAATGCAAAGTCATTGATGGGACCACATGATCGAGTCATAAATTATCGGCAATTACTACACAGATTCATACAGCGCCATTCGATTGAGGATTGTTACGCCTTGCTGTTCTTTTTTCTTGTCCGTCTTCAGTTCATATAATACCAAAGCAATGATCGCACGTATTTTGTGATTTCAAATCCAAATCAGTTAGCTTAATAGTGCTGCAGAAAGATGCATGTTTCGAAATAAATTTTGATCGAATCCAAGTACATTGCAATGCCGTTAATCATTTTCATCCAAACAAGCAAATCGATTACAACTAAATTGAGCCGTATGCGCAACATTTTTCTTAGGCTAATCTACTGAATGGATTGAAGTTTTGTGTCTGTGTCTGTTTACTTGTGTTCATCTCGTACAAAATTTGTCTCAGCACGCCTAAAATGACTCGAACTGAACGTGCACAAATAAATCTTCTGTTATCCGATTTATTTGCATTTCATTTGCTTTTTCTGACTGGTATTTATGCGTTTCTTCATTACACAATGTTTGGTAAATAAATTCTTATCGTTAAGGAAGAAAATTAATTAAAAACGAAAATATTCAGAGAAACTTCTTATACGCCCAGTCACTTTGATTGTAATTGATTATAAGTCGTGAAGTAGATCCTTTTTTTACTGTGCTAGAACATTATTTGCATCATAACAAAGATCATTTCAATTTCCACTTGAAATGAATCTATTTTATAAAAATTACAATAACCTTTGTTCTAAACAAAATTTCTTACAATTCACTCAAAACTCACCTGATGAAAGCCCAAATAGCTTTCAATGCTGTGTGTTGCAAAAAATACTTCACCATCGCATGTCAAAATCATGAGAAATCCATTTAAAGCCTGAAAATAATAGAAAATCAATTTAGAGCATTTCAATTAAACAATAATTTATCAAAAACCGCATTTAAAAAAATATATATACAAAATCAAAGACCACTGAAAGCGCAGTCACCAATTTTAAAATATGTTATTTACATATCAATTTCATTATATTACATTTCCAGAAGCTAATAGCACAAAATTCGATCTGAAAACGAGTCTATATTCATTTTTACATGTACCGACAAAAAATGTGAACGGATACTTCGATAATTAGCAATGATCCCCCGCGAAAAAATGCGTGTCATATGATTCCAGAATAGATAGGAAAATAAAATTGTAAAATTGTAAAATTGAGAATGATTTGTTAACATCAACCAGTTTGTTGACCTTTCAGTACCGTGCATTTAAAAATTAAATAAAATCAGTGCATATTCTGATTTTAATTCAAAATGCACGCAATGGATTTGTCGTCAAGACCAATGTTGAATGATGCAAATAAGCATATTTTTAAGGGGAATTATGACATTTTGGACCAAAATGAGTGAAGTATTGAGCCAATACTATTGACATAAAATTGATATTAATCGACATTTTTGAGAATGAAAAGAACGGAGGCGTCAACCTTCTCGTGGAAAGTTACATTTTGATCAATACACTACATACAAAAACGTTAAAATTAAGTTGGTTTAATCTGGGTTCAAATTAAAATTGAATTAGTGTACATTTATTTAGTGCCAGCTGCGAATTATTCACGAAGCGTAAAATAAATGTTTACATAGATTTCTAGTGTAGCATATATGCAAATTAACGCATGCTCCCGTTCAAAATAACGATTTAACGATTTTTTACGTTGTTTTTATGACACTCTTCGCATAGTTTTTTATTTGCTTGATTGTTGCAACATTGCTTTTGTCAATCTACAATGCTGCTGCGTTGAATGGCGAATTTCAATTTGGAATAGAAGTTTATAAATTGTATACACTACTCATTCAACGTAAAGAAACCTCAATATAATTTCGATTTTATTTTTTATGTAGACCCCGCTCGTATTGGAAAAGATTGATCGTAAGAAAAATATATTTCATTGTCCTAGTTGCAACTTTTATAACGACAAAGAAGGGAAAATGGCCCTTATTTATCCGGCTGAACGGTAACTTTTTAGTTTCCTCCTTATGATTTTTGTGAATTTTTTTTGCGGAAATTATTCGAATTTGCTAGGGTTTTTCATTCAAAATGTGAATACCTTCTTTGGTCGTCAATTTTGGAAAGTGAGGAAAATACTTTCGATTCACGATTTTTTTCTTTTTGAACTATTTTCCAACTTCAATGTTTTTTCTCAATTTATGGCCCAAGGGCTTTTCATCAATCGGAGCCAAAGGTCTTCTAGGTGTGGATTTCCGTATATTCCGTTTATAAATATTGAGTCTTTCGAAATAAATGCACATTGTGGCTGTTGTCGTAGTATTTATGTTGATATTCTTATAATTTCTTTTCTCAAAATACAAAGAACGTTTATCAAAATATTGTTGAATATTTGGATATGAGCATGATGAAATCCGTATAAATCTTACAGCACATTAACGTTTTTAGTGTGAGTTTTATATAACCTTTCAAATCTCACAAACATGTAGACAGTTACAAACAAATACTCAATTCTAGTCGACAATGACCAACAACAGTAGGCAATCGTCTGCTCCGCTGATTTGTTCCGATTTTCTTTGATATGGACAAAATTAATCACAAGATATTTCCACGTACAATGATTATTAAAATCACATTAGGTGATGTTTTTTTTCTCTTTCTTGGGGCAGACGTTCGAGATCAGACATAAATATGTTTCGTTATTATGGCAGAGGCATAAAATAACTTTGATCGTATGCATAGAACAGTAATGTGCGAGCTACATTTTACAGGGGGGGGGGGGGGGGGGGGTGTTTTTAAAAAAAAAAAAATTGCGTGGAAAAAAAAAAAATTTTTTTTTTTTTTTTTTTGGAAGTCACTTTTTGAGGCGAAAATCTATAGCAAATCGAAAGAATTTTCTCCGCGAAAAACCTTAGCAAATCTGAAAAAAATCTCTCGGAACCAAAAACCCTAGCAAATTTAAAGAATTCTCCTCAATTTTCTACATTGATGAACTAAAAAAAAAAAAAAGGGTCTTCACTTTTTTCATGAAAAACCCTAGCAAATTCGAATAATTTTCGCGAAAAAAATTTTTCTCATCCAAATCACAGGGGGGGGTAAACCCCCCCCCCCCTCGCACATTACTGGCATAGAATGACTGAAAAGTCTTTTGACAAACTTTTTATTTACGCACATTTTTTCGATAATATTTCAATGAGTAATCACTTCATTCGACGCAACGAATACAGGAAAATTATCATCAATATAAATACCGATCATTTAATCTAATCATTCTTTTCTTTTTGTTCATGATTACAAATGAAATTCAATTTGAATTTTAGCTTTGATGAATGCAGAGCGCATATAAATACCAACAAAAGATATCAAGTACATGACTTAATACCTTTAATTTGGTGAATTGAATGAAGAAACTATAGTACCAAACATTCCATTTGCGCTTACACAGTATAAAAACACATTAAGAAAAATGAAGATCTACATTTCAAAGAAATTCGTGTTTTTAAGAAAATGAAGATACTCTTAAGAGTTATCATATAAAAAATATCCGTCGAGAAGACGTACAAATCTATTTATTTATCTATTTTTTATTATTGATTTTCAAAAAAAATATATTCGCATTGTTTTTAAGATATTCGCTGCATTGTATTTGGTAGTGGCTTTTGAAGAATTGGTATTTGTCATAAAGCCTTTCGCTTCATTGAGTGTACTGATTATCAATCATTCTGGCAAAAAAAGCGAAAATATAACATGGAAAAAAACCAACAGCCTTACAATTCCATTTGGCAGATGACACATTTTGCAAATCCAAATACATACATGCTTGCAAATATCGCTTATTGGTAAGCGCAGCTCTTGAAAAATAAAGGAAATTTCACCATTTACCGAAGAGTGATTTGGCCGATTAAAAATTTTCAAGTTTCTCTTATGGTGTTTTATTGTTTGACTTAAGAACGCGTTCAGCGTTTAGCCTTTCAAATCACTTAAGTTTCATGTTTTTGTTTTTCTTTTAGTACAGCTATCATTTGCTAGTGGGTGCAAATACACACATTATTTCAAGCTACTGACTTCGACAAAGTTTAAAGAGCACCTCATAATAATAAAACATTTAATCGAAAGCTTACAATCTGCACGCAATGGCGAATAGGAGGATGTACTAAGGAAAAAAATCTAGCTTATGCACATACGTGCGACATTGCACATTGCTAATGTGTTATATTGATGTCTATTAATGCAATGCGTTTTAAAACGGCATCCAGATTTTCAACATTTTTCTTTGTACATTTTGAACTTGCACCAGCATAGCTTGCTTCAATTGCCGGTTTTGTAATCACACAATATTAATGTGGATGGGAAATAAGAACACTTACTAGAAAGCAAAGAAACAAATTGAACGATTTTTCAATAGCAGTTTTCATAGTAGAAATATGTTATCGTTTCATGTCAAAGGCCATATCAAATATAATTGTCTGGAAATATTCTCTGTGATATGATGTGGTACGTTAAATGTTGAACATTTTGACGCTACTCGAATTTACTATATAGCTACTTAATTGTATGGAACAATCTCTGAAGCTAGGTTTTAATTCGTTCGATTCTGAATGCACATTGAATATAGGTTTTTTGAGTTTCAGGTAAAAAAATCCACGGGTTGAGGGGACGTGAACCTCAACCCCCTGTGGGTCTACAGTCTATCTCCAACATGCATGAAATGATCGCTAGAGTGCTGTATTCAGATGATAATTATTAACTGATAATTATTTCGGTCTAATAAGGCGCTTTCTAACGATTAAACGCGAAACTTATTGATTTCATTACATCCCGACGAACATTTTATTTTTATAAAGAAAATTATTTTCTGTGTAACTCCTATACTTTATATTTGTCACAAAAACTAATAATAACAATTATATAGATAATTGGAAAAAAAGAGGCGAGGCTTGTTCACTACCATCACTTACAATGGCAAATAATGTAAAAAACTGCATGATGGCGCCATCTCTATGTGCTCATGAAAATTAGAACAAAAAGTTTGTGTAGAATGTTAATTGTTTGAAGTTTGAATACGGAATCATTTGTTGTGACGTCTGTCATTTTACGCTCGATAAAGATATACCGTGTAAATTGAACAAAAACCGATTTATTATTTGTATTTAGTGAATTTGTGATGGAAAATAAATTGAAATTACTTTGCACAGTTTGTGTCATCAAAATTAACTGCGAGGACGTTGCATATCACATGGTTTTTCTTCACACAAAATCAGTTGACATTTTTGACTTTTTCGCACCAAAAAAAAAAATGTTTTAATTGCCTTTGGTGCTCGTTTGGATCGCGAGTTCAATGCCAAGCACATAGAGATGTCGCTCGGAACGTGAAGCTCAAAAAAAATATACAGGTGATATAGAAAGCAAGTGATGGTAGCTTGTTCATTTCCTTTCTAAATTCTTTTAAAGTAAAAAAATATGAAGGAAATTTGAAATAGATTTTGAATATCTTTCCTTTTAAAGTCTTTCAAAGAATTTTATAAAATTGAGAATACGAATTCTCTTTATCACCTATATACTAGGGGCTTAATACGGAAAAAAATTCACAGGAATTCACGTAAATTCACACTTTTGAATCGAGTGGTTATTGATGAGTTCGGTGAATTCGTGTGAATAGAATTAAATGTGTCAAAGTAATAAAGTGAGGTTATGATAACCGCAATATTTTTTAATTTATTATTTTTTCAATATTTCCGATTGTTTTCGATAGAAAATCGCTCAAAATTGAAAATAAAATTAATTTCTTTTAAAAAAATATAAAAAACATTTACAATTTCGTTACACAAAATATAAATATTGCAGTAATTGCCAGCAGAAACTATTCACCACTATCTCACATATTTGGATGAAATCGCCGTAGAATTCACTGGAATTCCTTCGTTTGCTGAAAAATTCAGTTAATTTAGATATTATTATAGAATTCAGTCGTTGAAATTTTGAATTAAGCCCCTTGCCTATATAAGTTCTTTTTCTCTGTAAAAGAATCCGCCATATTTCTCATTGTTATTTAACCAAATATTTTGTTCTTTTCCAAAATCAATTTAATAATAATAATAATAATAATAATAACTGCACCGAACAGCGTTACTTCGCCTTGGTGGTTTATTCAAAGTAATATAAATATGAAATAATTTATATAATTTTATCTCTAATGTATAAATATTTTTGTTGTTACAAATTGATATCATTAAAATTTTATTTTATTTCACTACATATGAACAAAAAAATTATAATCTATATTATCTATATTATAAAAACGAAACGCCATTCTTTTGTCCTTAACTCCTCCCACAATTTTCAACCGATCTGAACCAAACTTTGCACCGAGATCTAGGCCACCATGAGGTTTTGGACCAAATTGGACTACTCCATGACGGTCGATTTTTATTTTTTTTATATTTGTATGGGGTATGTCAAAATTTGTAAATTTCATGATCAAATTCGGATTCCTCGGCCCAAAATTATGGGGGAGAGGTACTTTTGAAGTTGGTTTAACAGCCATCGTGGTCTAATATGAGGTAAAATGTTTTATCACGGTTATCATGGTCTAACACTATTTACCACGGTAAATGAGATCAGAAATCATGGTTCATCATGGTCTAACACGATTTAACACGGTAAATGAGGTCAGAAATCATGGTCCATCATGGTCTAACACCATTTAACACGGTAAATGAGGTCAGAAATCATCATCCATCATGGTCCAAACTCATTTAACACGGTAAATGAGGTCAGGAATCATGGTCCATCATGATCTAACACCATTTAACACGGTAAATGAGGTCAAAAATCATGGTCTAACACCATTTAACACGGTAAATGAGGTCGGACATCATGGTCCATCATGGTCTCAAAAAAAATCATTTTTCTCAAAAAAAGCATTTTTTTACCAAGGGGATATTCATACTAGAAAAACTAGTGGCGTGAAGTTGGTTCTCAGTAAAAAAATTATACACATTGTATATGAAGGGCCAACTTCACGCACTATAAAAACTAGTTTTTTTATTTTGAAACTAGAAATTGTATGAATATCCCCCCGTTTTTTACACTTTCGGGAGGTTGCTATTAGAATAATTAGTTTTTTATGATTGTTTATTTTGGATTTAGTTTTCAACATTCGAGGTTAATTCAATTGTACCAAAATTGAACGATTTCGACGCTGGAAGCCCATGTTAACAAATGAGGTCGGACATCATGGTCCATGACTTGAAATTGGAATTAATATTGAATGAACAACATTTTATAAAGTTAAAATCTATAGAGATAGTAATTTCAGAGATAGGAATTACAATTAAATATTAGATTTAAATTTGGTGATATTATTTATTTTGGCAAGAAAATAGGATTTTCACAATGCACAAGTTTTCACGATAATTAAATTACTGCAAACAAAAATAATTTCCAAAATTCGCCACCGGTATCTAAAATAAATAATCTAACCAAATTTAAAGAAATTTTGATGCGAATAAAGGGTACCTCCCATACAAAAATCCAAATTTTTGGTGACTTTTATATGAAAAGTGCATCGAATATTATTTGTATCGCAAAACTAAGGTCATATTCGGATTCCTCGTGCCAAAAAACTCCCCAGTCATACAATGTTGCTAGCTAGCTATTTATATCAGCTATTACTATAGCGATATATATTTATTTTTAGCAGCTATTTAGCTGCTATTTAACACATCTCTTCGTTCGAACGGTGTGAATGCTGGACATAACTATGGTGTCATTGCTATGAAATGATTTAAAACGTTAAACATTTCAAACAATGAGACCATTGTTATGTCCAGCATTCACACCGTTCGAACGAAGAGATGTGTTAAATAGCAGCTATTTATATATCGCTATAGTAATAGCTAACTAACAACATTGTAGGCCTCCAGTACATATTTTTACAACGGAGAGAGACATTTCTTGTGAATTTTAAAAATGGGCAAAATTCCTCAAAATTCGAAAAAAATGCCGCCTAGGCCTGGCGCGGTGTGAAAATTCAATTTTTTTTTTTCAAATTCGTCGCCATAGTCGTGTTTTTATGACCATTCTCAAGAGGTTATGAGGGTACTCTTTTTGATTATCAAAAAAAAAAAGTCAAAATCGAACCACTCTAATATAACCCCTTTAAATTTGCTTTATAGCTTGAAAAATGTTTGTCGGGAAATTTCATACACTTTAATGTTGTTATGCATAAATTTGGGCTGAATATTTATCGAATAAAAATCGCATTTTTCAGTGATGGGATCATATACAGGGTGTCTCATATATCAGGCTCACTATGAAGGAGTGAACATTTCTAAAAACCCTTTGGGGGGTATGTTGGGGGTAAAAAATAGAAAATTTCTATCTGAGCATAATTTTGAATTTTTCCCCAGGGAGGTGGGGTTGCCCCCAATTTTGCAAAACTTCATAGGATCAAAAAATAATGTACTACAAAGTTGTTCAGAATGATGAGAGAAATTTTTTTTGGACCAAAAAAGTGTAAAATCGACTTTGTAAGATTTGAGGGGTCGATTTTACACTTTTTTGGTTCAGATAGAAATTTTCTATTTTTTACCCCCAACATACCCCTTAAAAAAGGTTTTTAGAAATTTTCACTCCTTCATAGTGAGCCTCATATATGAGACACCCTGTAGATAGTTGGTAATCACGGTTAAATAACCTGTGAATAGTTTCACATTATTAGTCATTTTTCTCGGATGTCTGATGTAAGACATTTTATTTTAGAAGTTGTTGTTGGCTTGATTGATTATTTTCTGTTCTGTGTAATTAAATAAAATTGTCATGAAATTTCAACGGAAACTGTCGTACCTATGAAACAATTGAAAAGAAATTAATTTCCTGAGTGGTAAATATAAATGTAAAACCTTACCTGTAAAAACATATCGCCATCGGAAATGCTGTGTTCGAATGCGTTCAACTCTCTACTTCGATACACATCATGATGATGAATGTGTGATAATAATCCATTTTCTTCTTTTTCTTCAAGCATTACTACTACACGGTAAACGGTCCGAATAAGATGTATAGCAAGAAAAAAAGAGAAAAGCAGATGTTAATACATTGAGTTAATAGCTGATTTAAAAATGTATTATCTAAGTAAGTTTATAAATTTTTCAGGTTTCTGTTTGGCAACACTAAGAATTTTCATAACCACCAAAGAGATGATTCGCTTTATAGTGTTATCTTTAGTTACATATAAATAAACCAAGTTAATGACAGATAATTAAAAAAATGAACACACGTAGGAGACGTTTTCAAGATAATTCAATATTCGATGTTTTTCTCGCTTACTCTTTTCTATTTGAGCAAAATCAACAAATTATACTCAAAATCGAGGTTTTTGGGCGCTTCGAAATCGAGATTTTATCCATTTTTGTATTCATTTACTTTCGCAAGAAATGACACTTGAAACATCAACGCCAGTTTGTTCTACCAAATTTGTCTTCAATAATATTGTCTGCAAAAATTGTTGATCAAATGGAATTTTCTGTGTTCGACCATTGAACAGTTTTTTCGCTCTTTTGAATTGTTATAATCATTCTGATCCCCATAGATACTACTTATTGTATATACTAAAAAAATCACCTCACACTGAACGTGAATAAATTCATGTATAAATAAACTCAAAAAAAACTAAAAAACAAGGAGCAATTTAACAAGAAATAAAAAACGTCCAAACATGTATATGAAAACACATTACTTCTATGGAATACTATAGCATAGAATTGAACAGAAGTTTGTAAAAGAAAATAAAGGCAAATATTTTGCTTCTAAATAAGAAGCAAGTAGAAAAAAGCCTGAAAAAAGGAGTGAGATCTGAAATGAAATTGGCTTTGATAGCTTTTGTTTAACGTATATTGAAAGACCTTTGTGTCTACTTCTTGAATTGGATTTGGCTATATTCTTTTTCCCTTTATTTGGGTGAACGCCACTGAAGCGTTGTTTGCATTCGGGTGGTTGATCTCACATTAATAATTTATGCGTTGAAGGTAAGAATTGTTGTATTATTAACTGGCGTTGGTTGGGGGGTCGGGGCGATTTCACATAGCAATTGGATTCATTTCCGATGCTTTATTTCCTTTTATTTGAAGTTTTTTTTTCTTTAGTCGTCTTTATGAACTCAGTATTGTAGATTGACCGCCATCTTGGCTATAACTAAACAATATTTTTTTGGTGAAACGCATTTTCTTCTTTTACCAAATCGATGTAGATTTCCATTATTGGTTTGCCTTCATTAATCGAATACTACATTATTAAATTTGTTAACTTTGTTTTGTACCATTTCTTTATATCAACTTGCTGAGATCTTATATTTAGTTTCAAAAGAAGCATTTAAGCCATGAAACCAATCTTCTATGGGTCATAAATCTTAATTACGATGGCATTTTCCTCCTTGTCAAGAAATATGCAGAGTGTTTAATAGGTAATACTTTTGAAAACGTTGTACTTCTTTACTCTTTCAATGATCTGTTTTCTCTTCGCTCATATAATTCTTTCATTAAGCATTGAATTCAAATACAAAAAAAAAAAAAAATAAACAGATTACGCTCTCCAATAAGAATATCAAATTGATTGTAAAGGCGATTTAAAAAAAACATATTCGGAAATAGTATTTAGTGTGTCCAGTGTCCAGCGTAACATCATATATATAAATTTGGTCACGTGTTCCGCATAAATTTTTAGTTCGATTTCCTTTTGTTGGGACAACAATGTTGGAAATTTTCTTTCCAATTTCGAACGGTTGAAATATTGTGGTAATATTAAGGTAATAATCACATCATGCGATTGGCATGGAGTAAATGCAACGCTTGGTCAATATATTTGGTCCTTTCTATGGACGTATAGCTTATATATAAGGAATACACAAGAAAATGATTCGAAAAACGAATTTTTCTTCTAAGTGGATCCGTCGTTCATCGCAAAATAGTAAAAATTGACATATTTAAAAACATCTAAAATACAGATCTATTCGAAAGAATTAAAATCACTTAATATTACAATAAATACGCATTTCAACATTCATTGCATCACGTTCCGTTTGATTCAATGATGATTTATTCACTTCATCCTCAATTAATATCATTTGATTGTATGCCGAAAGCTTTTTTCACTTGGTCCATTGAACAAATTAGACTTGGTCATCTTTTATCATATCGGATATTTATTATAAATCGTATATAATTATTTTTTTGGAAAATTAACAAAAAAATTAATTAATTAAAAAAAAAAAATTTATTTAATTAAATTATCGTTGGGGGCAAATCGATACACTTTTTTGTGTTGACCAAATTTTCAACCAATTGAAAAGATATTAGATAAGTGTGAATACCATTTGATAGTGGATTGAAAAGCCTAACTTACTGCATCATTAGTTTTTTTTTTTAGTTGCCATTGTTTCCGTGTCAAACTAAAAATGGCAAGACATACGTTTGGGGGTGAATCGATACATACGGGGCAAATTGATACATACATGAGGTTGCCTCCATCGATACACCTTGATTTTTGCAATATTCTCGTTTTCGAATTTTTGCAATATTTTATAATTCTGTTTTTATTTCAAAGTTTAAAATCTAGAAATCACACTCAGAAATTACTTAAAATTAGAGCAGAAAGATTCTCAAAAACACAAAAATACTTCCTATGGGAAGATCGAAAATAGCAAAAAATGCCAGGCATGTTGACCGCATGTGTGCCCAACTTCTAGATCATATTGGACCAGGTTGAATCCAGTTGGTACACAAGATTCAATTCAAGCCCATATAATTTTGACTTTCGTTTGTGAATCCAGTTCACCTAGAAACAAAAATATCATAACTTATAATAGATGTTATTGGTTAGAAGTGAATCCTACGGAGAAGGTGGATCCAACCTGGTCCAATATGATCCAGAAGTTGGGAACACATGTTTAAAGTGTGAAAATTCGATCGGTTGATTTTCGGATTTCCATTTAGTATTGAAATATATATTTATAAAGCAAAGTTAGATAAAATTGATAAAAACATCCACAAAAATAATATTTCACAATAATACTACAGAAAACATACAGAACCAACAAAAATCAAATGACACAAAATGCAACGACTAAATTGTATCGATCATTTTTTTCAACATCAGGCGACCGTAAATACCGTTTGCATTTTTGTGCTGTCGATTTTTAATTTTTAAGGTGCATCGAATTAACCCCATTACCCCTATAATTTGAATTTTTCTGTCCAAAATAATTTTAAAATTTCAAATTATGAAGATCGGCTTTGTCTTAAATAATATGTACTATGAACGAACAAACAAAAATTCTTAGTAGATATTTTCAATGAATAAATATATTTTTTAATACCACGTGAGTCTTCTAAGGTCAGCACTATTCAGGTCATCAAAAATCCTCCCTTTGAATTTCTAGTGTAATAACTTTTCCAAATTAAATATAAGTTGCCAATAACGGGACAATAGATGAGTATGTGAACCAAATTTCCCAAATGTATCATTATAAAATGTCCATTTCCGTTGCCGTTGGTCTGCGGTTTGGTTTCGTTTGCTTTCTATTCCCAGTAGTCTATTGCTAATCAACATTGAAATACTTTGTAAATTTCATTCATATATCAAGTCATTTAACAACAATCATCCCATTCTCTATTTGAAAGCTAGTCCATATTGTTCTTTACGTATAATTTCGCCTCTTTTTGAGTGTATTCACGACTCATCATGTGGCAATGAAGAGCAACGAAAAATCATCATATTATGCCATCTATTGTCTGGCTGTCAACAAGATCAACCAGAAAATGATGTAAAAGGGCATAAACATATGCGCGACACGTGTGCTAACATTTTGAAAGAAAAATTGATGAACAAATAGAAGTAATTGTGCGTATAAAGTCCAATAATATAATCATTTAGAAAAAATAGTCTAGGTACTCTTCAGCCAAGGCCAATGTTGATCAATTGCTGTTTTTATCGTCGATGATGTGCATTTAGACATCAATCACATTGAAATGCATTTATTGTAGGTGATTCGAAAATCTATCAGTCGAGGGTTAAATATGCATTGTCATTTAGCGTATACGAAAAAAAAATTGAGATGTATTATTTTTAAAAGCAATTTGTGGAAGTAATCGAACTGATAAATTGATTTAAATTGATTGTTCTCCTTTTGTTAGTAATTATTCTTTGTTTATCAAGGTGAAATTGTACATGATTTCACTTTATTTATTGTTGGTCAAGGCGAATTTCTTTTCAACTCCAGTAAATTTCATACATTAATGATTAACACAGGGCTATGTGGTAGAAGAATGAACTGTATATGAATGGGTCAGAATAAAAATCCGACTTGTACGCAGAGTCTACAAAAGTGGAACACAGAGTTTTTTTTGCATAGAATTGTTGTTGTATTATTGTATTGTAGTATTACATACTAAAATTGTTTTTCTTATTAATTTCATGGGAACGTTTTTTTAGGATAGAAGCAAAGTCATTCTGTTTTCAACTGTTTCTTTGTTAATATATTTTTTGTCAGGATTCGTAACCATAATTTTGAGTTCGATAAAATTCAAGTATAGTTGAATCAATTTTCAGTTGATTTGCGAGTTAAGAAAAGTTACTTCGAATTAATTTTTAAGACGCTTATAAACCCAAGTGATGAAATTAATTTGGTACTTTTCCTTTTTGATATCTTCCCCCTTCGTTCAACGACTCATTAGCACAATATTTTGCATAATTAAGTTACATTACAACAAAATTAGTTCCTTTGTAAAAGGACAAATACATAACAAAATAATAAAAAATTACATATATTGTTTTTACTCAAGGCACACAAATATTTAGCTAGCATGATTATGTCGCATCCTTTTGTATTGCTTGCAAAATCAATTTAAACTGATCAATTATTGAAATTTTAAGATCGCTGTAATTCTCATTTCTTTGTATCAGTATAACTAGGTAATTTCCGTGATAATTATACCGACAAAATGAACTCACGCGTGTATTATTGTTACATATGTTAT